ATAGAATAAAATAACTATATTTATCCACGGTAGTCTCATTTAGGACTTTAAAAATACGAATAATTATTATACTATAATATTTAATATATTAATTTAATATAATATACCTATAATATTTATACATTAGTTACAATAATAATTATAATAACAAAGTTGCCTGTTTTACAAGAGAACCGACAATCTGATTTTAAAATCAGCAGTGTTTCCGATTATCGCAACCCAACTGGGAGGCTGTTCCGAAAAGTAACACCTTTATAACAACTAAAACTGTCCTTGAGAAAGTTCATGCGGGACTTTGGAACAGAAAGTTTGTCCTCAGAGTCTCTTAGTGGATTCTGGAATGATTACCGCTTACAGTGCGAATCACAAAGCTATGACTGCACAGAAAAAATTCTGGAATGAGTACTTGAAAAGTAAAATGAGCAGACACACAAGAAAGCAGGATGAGAAACATAAAATTAACAAACTTTGTGTTTATTCCATGTTCACAAATGACGTTATACTCTTTGCGAGCTTTTACAGGCCATTTTTTGGTGATAAACTTGTAAAACTTATTTGTAAAATTAAAGTTTTGATCAAATGAAAATGCACTTATAAATGACAGCTTGCTTCTGATTAATATAATTAATAATATAATCCTATTTATATAGCGCTTATCCAATTCTGTTCTAAGCGCTTTAAAACTACATGACAACTACAATAAACAATAAACAATAAACATAAACATATAAACATTTGCAGAATATTTCTAGCCGGTCACACCGGTCACAGCTTTTCGATTTTAGAAATCCATTGACACCAACCTTCTCCATCCCCTGTCAATAAGATCTTGATAATCCTCACAAGTCATTTTGTGAGCCCACATCCCTGTCATCAGAATCACATTTAAATATCAAATTCATTAATAATTCATAAGGTAAACTTTCTAGTTGACAGGTAATTAGAAATGTCTCATAATACTCAATCTTTCTTTATACAAGAAATCATAGAATGGAGCTGACCCAAGCAGGATAGCTAGGGTAATAKGGTAACCCTGGTTACAGGAATAAGTTTTTCACATGTAAACAGATCCAAAGTAACCTGCATGAACCCCCCTTCCCCCCCTGAAAATAGCAATGAGGATTTTTCCAACTTGTAAGGGGGGGGATGTCCTTAAGTATTAGGCGATTAGAGATTAACATTCAWAAACATGAGGCAGAACAATGAATCAAATATATAACATCTCCATGGATGGCTAACTTCAGGGCAAAATCACATTATACTTCCGTACTTTTTAGCAGAGAAAATACAAAATATTAAATGCATATTCTTCTTTTGATTGCTGATGCAAACGTATGATTGTTATAGTGTATAACGCACAAGAAAGAATAGAATCACTGGAATTCCTGAGACGGCTCATGTCACTTATCCTGTCACTTATGCGTGTATGGCAAAATTACTTTTAAGGTTGTTCAAAACTCGATTARAATTGTTATTGCCGCCATGGATCTTAGTTTAAAAGATTTTTTCAARCAAGGTTAATATAAAGCTTCTAGTATCACAACATTTAGATTAAATCTCCTCRAAAGTGTCCAAAAACAAAACAAAGTTAGTGTTTTAGTAACAGCTGATAATTAGAACCTTGGAATAATTTCTGTTCTTTTTTACGGATTAAATTGTAGAATTATAGGCGTAAAACATGCTAAATACATAAAATAGTTATTTAACTCACCATTGGAATAGTTAGTATCCTCTTGTTTGCAATAYCCGCATCTATACCCTTCTCTTTCTTTGAAATATTCAACTATAGAATAAACCTGWTCMGCCATCTTGGAAATGAAGCTTTGCACAGGAATCCCAGAGTTTCGGTGTTGCGTCTGGCTGCCTTGTCGGAGAAATCTTAAAAAAGCCTGGTAATTTAGAAGAAAAATTCACAAAATACTAAATAATAATTCTTTATTCGATCGTGGCACAAAATTCGAGAGTTTAAGTTTTTTTACGAGAAAATAAAGACTTATTGGTATTCCTGTGTCAGCCCACCGCGGAACGCGGGTGATTCAAATTTCCAAAATGGCGTCCAAACTGGCTTATTGTTTACAACGATATTTTTGTTAAAAATGTTATCTTCCAGGGACAACTTYCTAATAATGTACCCACTAAAGCATTCCTAAACAATCAAAGACTTAAAAAATWATTTTTTTTTGTGGAATGAAGCGTTTGTCTCAAACATGGAAGCAAAAGAAGACTGTGAAATCCACAAAGTCAACAACAACGAACGACAAATCGTCGTCGGTAGATCGATTTCAGAATGAGAAATCATCAAAAGGTTTGTTAATTTCTACATATGGTATATTCATAGTTTATAAACAAAGTTAATTCAATGTTTTTTGGCTCAATTCTTTTTGATTTAGTATTCCAAAGTCCGTCTACATTCAAAACTTCCAACACACGGACCAACACACTTCAAAGAGCTACAGAGAAACAAGACACCAATAAAGTAAGAATTAGAAAAAGTTTAACTCAAAACTCGAAACAAGTTCGTTTAAATCTGTCACTACTGTCAAGAACAGCATAAAGTTAGTAAATTTATCAATTCTGAGAAAGACGTGTTGAAAATTCGAAAAGAACAGCGCTTCAAAGCCTCCAAATTACAAATCGGGCTACTCGACATTTATAATTCCAATTCCTTGTAAAATTTTGTATTTTTGTGTTTTTTGATCATTTGATTACAATATTAAGTCAAATATTTTATTTTTTCTATTCTTGTTTTCCTTCCTTTTTTTTGAAAACAAGGATGGTATCGCCACAACCAACAGCCTTCTGTTCAACTCGCCRACCAGCTCTCTCAGCGTATCTTTTGGCTTCGACTTTGATGCCGCTGCTCTCTCAGAAATGGATAAACTCGAGCAAGAACATGTCCCTAATTCCACTACAACACCTATTCCTCACAAACGAAGACTAACAGAAAATGCCACAACCTCTACTCCACAAAACAATACAAATCAACACAAAATTGCCACTGCAACAACCCTAACAACTACTCCTTATGGAGCACTAGTATTTTCAAAGAGAAATGATTCAAATACTCCTAAAACTGAAGCCCAAAATAGAGTTATACAAGGAAGAGAAAGGATTTCAACTCCCATTGAAGAGAACAGCAATGCTTTAGTGTCACCATCGGCAAACTTGCCTGTGTTTTCACCAGTGAACCTGACATTGAATACATGTAGCTCAGTTTCTGAGAATGTCAAAATTGTCCAGAGACATGAAAGTAATGGGAAACAAGACAGTAATAGAAATTTAAGGTGATTAGATTCATTGTCATTGTCTTATTCACAGTTTTCTGTGCCATCTTGAAAGACACATGAAGCTATGCCTTTGCATCTAAGCTTGCAGTGTTAGAAAACTTCCATACTGTCCATACCAAATCTATAGCGATCATTTCATGCTCAGGCTGTCTTGCTTAAATGTAAAGGCACTGCTACCTTTAAAGATTGAATCATAGACGAGGTAGGTTGGCTGTCTCTTGGTGTATGTTCTATGCTTAACAGGGTCTTTTTAAATTAATAAGTGGAAAGTGTGTGAGCAGTAATCTTCATCGGCTAATAGTACAACTGCAATAACAAAAGCTGATGAAGACTACAGCTCAACAGAGAGCAGACCTACTGCAAATGCAAACCATCACAAAGATATTTTGTTTGAAACTGTTTTGCATTTCGTCTTGTTAATATTTGGTTATTGTTGTTTTCTTCGGGATCTGAAATGCTGATTTCCTGTACGCGACGTTTCGGCAATCCACACAATCCAAGCCTGAAGAAGACACACTAAGTGCGCCGAAACGTCGCGTACAGGAAATCTGAAATCTTTACAACTTCAGCACCACAGGATTGAATGTAGATATTGTTATCAAAGTTATGTATTTTTAACAGATTATCCAAAAGTGGTAGCTCCAGTGACAGCACGCATGACAGTGACAGTAACAGCAGTACTAACAGTGTCCTAGAAGTTTGTCCTGCCAGTGGAAGCGATGTTCATAACCTTGCATCTTGGGGGCTACCACCATCAGTGTTACAGCGATATCATGATATGGGTATCACTCACATGTTTGAGTGGCAAGCAGAGTGTTTAAGGACAGGMAAYGTACTCAGAGGAGGTAAATGAAGAAATGAGAAATAGATGAATACAAAATGAGAAATAATTGTTGAAAAAATGGGAAATGGAGAAATAGGAAAACGAAGAATTAGGAGTGCAGAAATGAAAGCAATTGGGCACATAGTGTGTGCTTTAAAATTCTAAAAGCTATAAATTTTTAATCTTGAACTACATTTTTTTGCATTTTTTTATTTTCCTTTTTTTATCTTTATTTATTTATTTTTTTAATTCCAGGAAATCTGGTCTACTCAGCACCAACCAGTGCTGGCAAAACCATGGTAGCCGAGTTGCTGATGTTAAAGCGAGTTCTAGAAACCAAGAGAAAAGCTTTGTTTATTTTGCCATACGTCAGTGTGGCCAGAGAAAAGATGTTTTATCTACAGGTAAGATCTGCGGCTTCATCCACACGTTTCCGCAAATAAAACTGTTGTATGCCCGATTGCAAGTCGCGTCCAGAACTACCCGGAAATTTTCGAAAACATTTTTTAGAGTAAATATGGCTGAAAACGCTCCTTATATTGGTACTCGTGGACGCGAGTTGATTTTTACATCAACAACAAAAAATCGGGTGCGGATAAATTTAAAGAAATGTGCGGCCACGTGTCCGTAACGCCCATTTTGACTTGTGAAGTAAAAACGGAGAAGAAGACGTAAGCCACTTACGGAAATCAGCATACAGAAAAGTAAGAAGTATGAAAGAAACGAAGAAGAAAAGAAAATATCAAATAAAAACCTTACGTTTTGCTTCTTTCACCGCTTCCGTCTTCTCCCTCTTCATGCACTTCAACTTACAGTGTCGCTGCTCATTGGCTATTCTTCGTTTTCACTATGTACCACAGCGGCCATCTTGGAGGAACTTCAACAAAGGATTTCTCATTAGTATCTATTGTTCATTCCTCCAACATGGCCGCTGGTCTTTTATCTTTTGCATATCATGGGAATGGTTGAAAACGAACAATAGTCTCCTTGACGGTTACGTGCGCCATCTTGAAAAGTAGTCGTGCCTTTACATCGAAGCTAGACAACCGTTTAGCGTGCAATGGTAGATACCTTTGAATAATTGTCTGTAGGTGTGAAAGAAGGTTTCTATCATTGCATGCTCAACGGTCGTGTCGCTTCGATGCAGAGGTACATACAAAGGCACGGCTACCTTTCAAGATGGCGTAGAGAACCGTAAAGAAGACTATTGCGCACTCTGTTAGCCTAATGATAGGCCTTCTAACAGTTGATGATATTTTTAGTTAATGGTTCGAGAAAAGACAGCCAAAATGTAAAACAATGACAGTATTTCTTTGGGTTTCAGCGTCTGTTTCAAGAAGCCAGTGTTCGTGTCGAGGGATTCATGGGCAGCCATAACCCCGCAGGTGGATTTACTGCGGTAGACATTGCCGTATGTACAATAGAGAAGGCAAACAGCTTACTAAACAGACTTATGGAAGAAAACAAGGTGTCTACTTTGGGGGTGGTAGTGGTGGATGAAATGCATATGATAGGTGATCCCCACAGGGGGTACCTACTGGAGCTTTTTCTCACCAAGATAAGATTTGTTTCTGGAGAGGGGACAGTCCAAGGTGAACAAGCTGAATGTGATAACAAAGGTCAGTTTAGGCGCTCAAATTCGTCCCTTAATTGCAAAATGCTCGCTTCTTACAAATTCTCGCACCTCGGTCGCCAAATGCTCGCGCTTTGGTCGCGAAATGATCGCACCTTGATCGTGAAATGATCGCACCTTGATCGTGAAATGATCGCACCTTGATCGTAAAATGATCGCACCTTGATCGTGAAATGATCGCATTTATATGATTCAAGCAAAGTAACAAGCCTCTGTATATTACGCATTTTTAGACGGTAAATCTACAAACGAGTCCCCGATTCAAGTCGTCTGTATGAGTGCAACATTACCCAACTTAGACATGCTCGCTCGTTGGCTTGCCGCTGACTTGTACTTCACAGACCACAGACCAGTCCCTCTGACGGAGATGGTGAAAATCGGCCCGACCATTTATGACAAAAAGATGACCAAAATCCGGGACATTGATCCAACGAAAGCCGTTGTCAATGACGACGATCACATAATCCCACTTTGTAAAGAAACTATTACCCAGGGACACTCGGTACTGATATTTTGTCCGACAAAAAACTGGTGCGAGAAACARGCAGAGGCGATTGCGCGMCACTTYTCTACTATCGGAAACCCWGGACTAGCAAGAAAAACTGACAATCGATCAGGCTTCGTGAAAGCGTCGGATATGATCGCTTTTGATTACGAAGCCATCCGGGAGGTCTTCGAGCAGCTCAAAAGGACGCCTGTCGGCTTGGACTCGGTTTTACGAAGGGTGTTGCCTCATGGGGTGGCTTATCACCACGCGGGACTTACAGTTGACGAGAGGGACATTATCGAGGGGGCTTTTAGACAAGGGACTATAAGAGTTCTTGTGGCCACATCTACATTATGTTCAGGTTTGTGCACCATTTTCATTAAAAACAGACCTATGGCATAATGAGGTCACAGTATGTTTACATTGTGGATAGATGCTCAGAAAGATTTGAAATTTGGACCTATTAATATTCTTTCTGAAAGTAGAACTTTAGGGCATCGAGTTTTGATGTATATCATTTATCAGTGATAGCTCATCGACATTTTATTTGATATGCAATTACTCTGGTTCCCTCTGGCGACCATAATCTTTAGCGTTAAAACAATAGAATGTTTTACTGTGACGTAATTATGCGATAGGGCAATTTCACATAGTTTTGGAAATTTCGCAATTTCCGCGTTATTTCACTGTACGTGAATCCCTTACCAGGTGTGAATCTTCCCGCTCGTCGAGTCATCATCCGAACTCCTACGTTTCATGGTAAAATGGTAGACCCTTTGGTCTACAAGCAGATGGCTGGACGGGCTGGACGTAAAGGAGTTGACGATCTTGGTGAGAGTGTTCTTGTATGTAAAACTACTGAAAGGCACAAAGCTACGACGCTGATGAAGAGCGAACTCAAACCTGTGCAAAGCTGTTTATTATGTAAGAATGTTTTTAAGCAGTTCTTGTTTTTAAGCTTGTCCTTCTGTTTCCTCCGTGTTTCCTTAAGTTGCACTCCCTTTCTTGTCTTTTTGATCGCTTCTTGTCTTTTTCCCTTTCATCCCGTTTTGCTTTATGCCATTATTCTCCCTTCCTTCCTCCTTTGACTCAACCTGACTCTATCTCTGGCTTTTAACACTTCTTTTCATTGTTATTTCGTCTCTTGTTTCTTTCTCATTTATGACTTTCTTTTTGTCTACTCTTCCTTCTCTTCTCTCGTTCTTTCGTTATCTCCTCTCAGCTTTCTCTCTACCTGTTCCATCTATCCCTCTTCCCTTTCTTTCCCAATGCTTTTCCCATCTCTCTTTTTTGTTGTCATTGTATTATATTTATTTTTCCTCTTTAGATCCTTTCTTCATTTTTGTTGTCTCTTTTCCTTCCTTCCTTCGTCCTTTAGACAACTAAATCATCATTTTTTCTCTCTCTAGTAAAAGAACTCAATGGTGGAATCAAGCGTGCTTTACTGGAGGTCATCGCCAGTGGCGTCGTGACAGGATTACGTGACGTAGAGCGTTACGCTGCGTGTACATTCTTTGCTTCCTCGTCACGTCAGGATGACARWGATGGCAACAAGTGCGCTATCACTGAAACAATTAAATTTCTRGTTGACAACGAGTTTATTCGGGTACAAGTCAACAAAGACAAAGAGAATGGAGACTCCGTAAGTATTCTTCGTTTTCAAGTTACGTCACAGCGGCCATCTTGGASGAACTTCKACAAAGGATTTCTCATTAGTATCCATTGTTCATTTCTCCAACATGGCCGCCAGTCTTTTATCTCTTGAATTACAKGGGAATGGTTGRAAACGATCAATTRCTGCGTCGCTTTTCACCAGGGTKGTACCCAGTCCTTACTCCAATTTTTCGGTACAYTCMAAGGGGCCRATGGGAAGGAAAAGTTTGCGATTTTCCTTTGTCCTTCGATTCAGGCAAAACGCGTCTCTATAAAATAAAGAGTAGCGATTGGGTATGAATTGTTTAGACGCCTTTTTTTCTCTACTCATCACGGTATGAGTTGATATCCTGTACGATAAATTCATACAAGAACTCCATCCTTACGAGAATCCGCCATCTTGATAAATTTTTCAATCCCATAATACTTTTCGGCAATACAATGAGGTCATAAGCGTAGAGAACGATTATAAACGATTATTTCTTTGCAGCGATCAGAGGAATCAGCCCAAGAGCGTTACGTTTCTACCCAGCTTGGTTCAGCCACAGTGGCTTCTGCTCTGTCTCCTGATGAAGCTTTGGTTGTATTCGGTGATCTCCAACAAGCAAGAAAATGCTTCGTGCTGGAGAGCGAACTGCATATCATCTATCAGGTATAGAATAGAGTTATTTAAAAAGATGTTATATATAAAATATTACATGGGCGCGCGAAGATACGGATTTTATCTTCGAGTGAAAAGATCTCTCACGAGTGAGCGTATTTATATATGAAAGCAAGTTATGTCGTAAAATATCTTTTTCTTACTTCCACTATATAGAGAAACCTCGAATCTCGAATAAAAGAAATATAGGCATTTCATAAATACTGTCTGATGAGTGCGTAGCACGAGACTCGGAGTTACAGCAAAATCTTGCCTCTTTAATGGGATCAGCTACTTCCTCATACAATTATTATATTTAAGAAATATAAAACGACGATGTAACCACTGTATTTCTCTCTGCAGGTCACACCTATATATGTCGAAGCTCAGTGGCCAAATCTGGACTGGAATCAGTTTCTAAGCATTTGGGAACGTCTTCCTTCGCATATGCGACGCGTTGCTGACATTGTTGGAATACAAGAAGTCTACCTWTCCCTTGCATCACGKGGTAGGATACCAACCCGTACKCCACAACAGCGGCAACAGCTAAGAGTCCATCGGCGCTTTTTTGCTGCGTTGGCTCTACAAGATTTAGTCCACGAGGTACCTTTAAATGTCGTTGCTCGCAGGTACGGGGCAACTCGAGGGATGGTACAGTCCTTGCAAAGCTCAGCCTCTACKTTTGCTGGAATGGTAAGCGTGTTCTGCCAGAAACTCGGTTGGGTCAACTTAGACCTTTTGCTGTCACAGTTCCAGAGTAGGCTGTCTTTTGGYGTCGAGAGAGAGCTGTGCGATCTTGTRAGGATCTCGGTTTTGAACGCCGCGCGTGCGCGAATGCTTTATAACGCAGGCTTTCAAACCATGGCATCGCTGGCGTCCGCTAAACCGGAAGTAATCGAGACAGTCTTGAGAAATGCTGCTCCATTTGTCAGCGAGCGAAGACATCACGGAGAAACTGATTTGGAGGTGAAACACCGAAGCGAAGCACGAGTGATATGGGTTGCAGGAAAGAAAGGACTCAGTGAAAGGGAAGCAGCAGTTTTAATCATATCAGAAGCGAACCAACACCTTCAAGATGATGCTGCACAACTTGGTATTCAGTGGAAGGCACCGGAAGTAAATGCACCGGAAGCACGCGGACTAGAAAGAAATCCACCGGAAGTACGCGCAACGGAAGTAGCTGGAACTTCCATTGGTAACAAAGGGAATCGATCATTAGGAGTGGCAGGGAATCTATCTCGTGATAAACCATCCAAAAAGAAGCGGAAATTCTCAAATAGACGAAGGTTGTCGGGGGCTAATGGGAATCGGATATCGCCTCCTTTGCGGCGAAGTCCACGACGATCACCAGATACTAATCCCCCTGAAGTCAAAGAGAAATACACCAAATTGACTGACGTTAGGACTTTGCCTTCATGCCTGGAAGGACAAACAAACCGTGTTAAAGACGATAAGACAGCACAAAGCATCCGATGTCTCGAAAGCTTACCAGGAACAAGTAAAGATAAATGCACAAAAACTATGAATACCAATGGAAATACCTTGTCTTCGTGTGTAGAAGGGCAGAGGAACGTTAACGCGGCGCTCAACGTCAATCCAGTAGAATCAGAACCAGTAACTAGAAAAAGGCGAGAAACACACGAGAAAAGCAAAGTACAAAGCGATAAAACTCTCTATAATATTCAAATCGAGAATGTTATTCCGTCCAAACAGACGTCCACCAATCATAGCAGTGCTCACAAAGAAGAGAGAACTATTGCGTATGACAAACAAAACTGGGATAAAGATGCTAAGACCTTTGCTGCACGTGACTCCACGATAACCAATCATAGCAAAGATCGTCTTGAAAGTAACCAATCAGAAAGAATAGGTTTATCCGAAGAGCAAAACCGTAAAAAGGAGGCTGTAAAATATAGTTCACGTGACCTGCCTTCCACCAATAAGGTCAAAGACAAACTACAAAGCAACCAATCAGAGGGAAGGTCAGTTCCATCTATAGTTAGAAACCAGAGTCWAGGTGATCARCAACATAGACCGAATTGCTTTAACAAAGAAGTACAAGAACAACATCAAAATGAAATAAAACCAAGAGCAGATTTTTTTACGCCAATTGGGGAAACTTCCAAACAGAGGAGAATATCTCCACGGAATAAATGTAATAGCGAAACTTCTGATAATCGATTAAGTATTAAACGACGTTCTCCACGAAATGAGCTGCGCAAAGACTCGCCGAAGGAAAAGGTCCCAAGAATTGAAACAAAGATGGCGGACGAGATCGAGAAACAAGACTCCCTTCTGAACACAACACAATCATTTTCAGTCCAAGAGGAGTCGTACTCTTCTGCAGTTCTGTTTGACAACTCTGTGGATATCTCTGAGAATAAAGTGGCTCCTGGACCGAGTATATCACCAGAACTATACTCTGAGCCTTTGGACGAAGAAAAAGATGCTAAAGGTATTTACAAAGTTTGTCCTAGCAATTGACGAATGCACGACCGAATGTTACTATGGGTAATAATTGTTTTCTATGGCAATGTTCACCCACCTAAGGCAATCAATAATGCTGTTTCTACTGAATGAAGTTCTTCGATAAAGATTTGTTTAGTTGGTCCTTGTTCAGTTTTCAGTAATGAATGTTATCCATCAAAAATTATTAACCACAACTACTTTCGGTCGTGGAATTGCGGTTTCGCTCCGACAATCTCATTAAAATAGCTGTATATTCAAAAATTAATTCAAAATCCATAGTTAATTGTTACAAATTCACTTGTACATTCCTTGAATCATTCGACCACTTCTTCATTCCTCCATCCATCCTTTTCCCATCTTTTTATTCATTCCATTCATTTAATGAATTTCCAAAAAAGTGTTAAGCAAATGATTATAATTGTTGTTGTTTTCATGATTTAACAACGGCACAACATTAATGGTTGTATATATATTGCGAGAGGAAGACTTTATTTCGAAGAGCAGTGCTTTTTATTTATTTTCTTGATTACGCTGGAAAAAATCGCACGTCATTAAAGGTTGTAAATTTGATGGAAATATGATGTAAGTGTCCAAAATGATGGAAATTTGATGGAAATGATTTACATCAAATTTACATCATTTTGGACACTTACATAATATATACATCAAATTTACAATCTTTAAAGCGTGCGATTTTTTCCAGTGTATCATGATAAAAACTATTCTAGGTTAATTGTTTTTACCTTGCAATTTCATTTACCATTCTCCTGGGTAATAAGAGCAATGCTATGGTACTTTCCTCTAATGACTTTGGCGTGATCATGGGATGGCCTTAAATTGCAACTGAACCCTGTTTGAAAATCATTTTTAAAAAAAGGCAGATATGATGCTAATCATTGTCTTGAAGAAAAAAAAGTTGTTTGAATTGCAGAAGTGCTTAGCAGCATGTGTTCTTTCGAATGAAATGACTTTCTAGAAGGTTTCAGTTGCACTTTAAGTACAAACTGAGTCATATTGTTTTTCACTCGAGTTTCTGCTGTTTCAGACTGTCTTTTCGTACAAGTATTAGTCATTTCATAGATAGGTCTTTTAACATACTTAACATTAGCTTAGAACCTTTTAGTCTCTTTAGGAGTTATAATTTAGTGATTCGAGTCTCACTTTTCAAGATGGCGGACGCATTTTTCTCCGAAACATCTGATGCATGTATAACGAACTAAACATTGACGATGTATTGACCGAGCAACCGTGAAAGGATTGCAAGGCCAACTGTCAGCAGTAGACTTAAAACTAATTGTTTTGTTTTCTTCTTATCAACGATTATCAACTAAATATAGTTACAGTCAACTCTTTCGTAAGCGACCACCTCGGGATCAGGAAAAAGTGGTCGCTTACGAGAGATGGTCGCTTACGAGAGAATGTTTTTACAGAGTTTATATGGGAAACAATCATAACGGGAAATTTAAAAGGTGATCGCATACGGGGTATGGTCGCTTACGAGAGTGGTCGTTCACAGAGAGTCAACTATATTTTCTCTTCATGGTCGACACCACTGGAATGCATTGACGACCGACCAACCTACTTTTCATTGTTTCACATCTTTAGCTGTCGGCCAGGTTGTCATTGTCGGGGCAACTATCGTCGACGTTATGGTTGATATTTTGTAATTCAAATCTTTCGGTGGCTTGATAAAATGGATGGGTTTGGCAACATTTGAACCTGCGCAACAATTCTTTTTTGAATTCACGCATGCGAAATGCGTAAATGATGACATTCRCAACYGAGTTACCATATTGAAGCCATTTGGAAGCCRTGACGAATTCATATGACAGTATGATTTGATTGCATGAGATGTTTTTAATTGTTTTTGATTTTAAGCAAACACGATATTCCACTTGAGTGGTCATGAATGGTATCCAAGCAGCCAATGTTATCAGGCTGATGATTGCTAGTGAGATGGTCAGTTTCTTGTTGGTGTGGTGGATGGCGTGATGWGCGATTGCTTTTGTGCATGTCATCTTTATCCATATAAGGAGATAGGCAGTGAWAACTACTACAACWGGGATTGAAATCCACAATACGATTAGGGTAGCCATAACTTCAAGGTAAAGGGGACGGATGAAGGTTTCAAGGTAAAATGAACGGATGAAGGTTATCAAAGGCAGCAGCGAGGCAATAAGCCAACCCCCAGCAATGCCAAAGCCGTATTTAATTCTACTCAATGTACGGTATTTGAAGGGGAARTATGTTGCATATGCTCTTTCWACTGCCAGGGCTGCCAAACCAAATAAGGAAGCTAATCCAAATAAGGGATCTTGTACGTTAAATACTCGCTTATATGTCATTGAGACGGCTTTTCCTTTTGTATCCCCGTAAATGTACATAGGAATTGATATTAGACCAACAAAGAAATCCGCCACTGCAAGGTTTACTATAAAAGCATATCTACGCATGCGCAGACGACGTGAAGTCGTGAATATCACCATTGTGATGGCATTTCCTGTAACTATGGCAATGGTCATAACAATGAATAACGACGTTGACCACATCGTTGACAAGGTTGTCAAGTGAAGAGTTCTGAGATTGACAGAAAGACATTGTATCAACTTTCTGCATGTAAATTCATAGGTAGCCCAAGCACTGGACTTAGCAGTGAAAAACGAAAAGTTCGATAAAAGTGGTAAAAATGAATAAGATTATTTCAAACTACAACATAGTGTTCTTCTTATTTTTCTCAATACCCCTGTGAAGTTTCAGCTCATTATGGTAAACTTTCCCCTACTTATATATATTATGACAAGGTTGGAGACAAACCGACGCCATCACACATTTGCTTATGCATAAATACATCTTAATTTTGATGTCTTAGAGGCCTACCTGCTCTTGACTATGCACTAAAGC